GGAGCTACGCATGTGTTTGTAATTATCATTTTGATTTTAGGAGCTACACATGTGTTAGTAATTATTATTTTGATTTTAGGAGCTACACATGTGTTTGGATGGTAAGATATGGAAATGGTGTGAAGCATTTGACCTGGATACTATTGGTCCTGTTGTCAGAGTAGTTAAAACTATAGACAGACGGTATACAGTTCTAATTCAGATAAAACAACTCTCTAACTCACAGAAACAGGTAATAATACAGAACTGGATACCATTGGTATTAATAAATTCAGTTTAATGGGAGATAACTCCAACTGTCTTAGTCATTTGTAACATTGGAGAGAACTCCAGATTTCCTAGTGATATATATGACAGTTATTCTGCAACAAACAGTTATACAAACTTTTTTTCTAAACGCCTTCACATATTGGGCTGATTTTTAGTATGTGAGTCTACTATGATGAGTTACAGATCGAGTTTACATTTGGTTCCACTCTGCTGGTTTGAGTCAATATTGGAAAGTTATAAACAAAAGGAACAAGCTCTGGTCATTTTTTATACGACCGCAAAAAATTTTCGTGGTCGTATATTGGTATGACGTTGGCGTCGTCGTCGTCGTTCGAAGACACATTGGTTTTCGCACTCTAACTTTAGCTTAAGTGAATGGATCTCTATGAAATTTTACCATAAGGTTCAATACCACAAAAGGAAGGTTGGGATTGATGATGGGGGTTATGGTACCAACAGTTAAGGAATTAGGGGTCAAAAAGGGGCCAAAAATAAGCATTTTTGTAACTTCCAGACATAACTTGTGTGTTAGTGTATGGATCTCTCTGACATTGTACCACAAGGTTCCATATCACACAAATAATGCTGGGATTGATTTTTGGGGTAATTGCCTCAAAATATTAGGAATTAGGGGCCAAAAAAGGGGCAAAAAACAAGCATTTTTATTCGACTGCATAAAAATTTTTGTGGTCGTATATTGGTATGACGTTGGCGTCGTCGTCGTCGTCGTTGTCCGAAGACACATTGGTTTTCGCCCTCTAACTTTAGTTTAAGTGAATGGATCTCTATGAAATTTTACCACAAGGTTCAATACCACAAAAGGAAGGTTAAGATTGATTTTGGGGGTTATGGTACCAACAGTAAAGGAATTAGGGGCCAAAAAGGGGCCAAAAATAAGCATTTTTGTAACTTCCAGACATAACTTGTGTGTTAGTGTATGGATCTCTCTGACATTGTACCACAAGGTTCCATATCACAAAAGGAATGCTGGGATTGATTTTGGGGGTAATTGCCTCAAAATTTTAGGAATTAGGGGCCAAAAAAGGGGCAAAAAACAAGCATATTTCTAGTTTCATGACAATAACTTGTGTGTAAGTGTATGAATCTTTCTGAAATTGAACTACAAGGTTCCATATCACAAAGGGAAAGCTGGAATTGAGTTTGGGGGTAATTGCCGAAACGTTTAAGAATTGGGGGCCAAAAAGGGGCCAAAAATAAACATTTTTAGCTCACCTGGCCCGAAGGGCCAAGTGAGCTTTTCTCATCACTTGGCGTCCGTCGTCCGTCGGCGTTTTACCAAACTTGGCCACAATCATCATTAGGGTATCTAGTTTAAAAAATGTGTCCGATGACCCTGCCAACCAACCAAGATGGCCGCCATGGCTAAAAATAGAACATAGGGGTAAAATGTAGATTTTGGCTTATATCTCTGAAACCAAAGCATTTAGAGTAAATCTGACAAGGGGTAAAACTGATTATCAGGTCAAGATCTATATGCCCTGAAATTTTCAGAAAAATCTGACAACCTGTTGTTGGGTTGCTGCCCCTGAATTGGTAATTTTAAGGAAATTTTGCAGTTTTTGGTTATTATCTTGAATATTATTATAGATAGAGATAAACTGTAAACAGCAATAATGTTCAGCAAAGTAAGATCTACAAATAAGTTGTAATGACCAAAATTGTCAGTCGACCCCTTTAGGAGTTATTGCCCTTAATAGTCAATTTTTAACAATTTTTTGTAAATTTTTGTAATCTTTTACAAAAATCTTCTTCTCTGAAACTACTGAGACAAATTTAACCATTCTTGGCCATAATCATTATTAGGGTATCTAGTTTAAAAAATTTGTCCGATGACCCCGCCTTCCAACTATCATGGCTGACTTGGTTAAAAATAGAACATAGGGGTAAAATGCAGTTTTTATACGACCGCAAAAAAATTTTTGTGGTCGTATATTGGTATGACGTTGGCGTCGTTGTCGTCGTCGTCGTCGTCCGGCATCGTCGTCGTCGTCCGAATACGCATTAGTTTTCGCACTCTAACTTTAGTTAAAGTGAATGGATCTCTGTGAAATTTTACCATAAGGTTCAATACCACAAAAGGAAGGTGGGGATTGATTTTGGGGGTTATGGTACCAACAGTTAAGGAATTAGGGGCCAAAAAGGGGCCAAAAATAAGCATTTTTTTGTTTCCAGACAATAACTGTGGAACAGTGTATGGATCTCTCTGAAATTATACTACAAGTTTCCATACCACAAAGGGATGGTTAGGATTTGCTTTGGGGGGTTATGGCTCAAACCGTTTAAGAATTAGGGGCAAAAAAGGGGGAAAAACAAGGTTGTCCTGGTTAATGGACAAATACTTTAGTACAAAACATAATTTAAAGCAGTGTAAGGGAGATAAATCAAATACATCATTGAAATTATCTCCCTTACACTGCTTTTAAATTATGTATAAAGTAATGGTTAATGAACAATTAAGATAATTTAAAACAGTGTAAGGGAGGTAATCCAATATACAACGTTTTGGTTACTTCCCTTACACTGCTTTTAAATTATGTTTAAAGAAATGCATATTTATAAAGGAAGACCAGTAAAAATATCTGCAAATGTTGCATCTTTTTTTTTTACAAAAAAATCCATATGAAAGATTTGACACTATATTTTAAATTCTATTATAAAATAGATTAAGTTAGCACTATGGTAAATTTAAATGGGTAATTATGGCTGCAAATTCCATTGGAAATTTGAATTGAGATTATGACCATATCTTGAGGGAAAGAATTTTTTGGGGGAAGGGGGGGGGGGGGGGGGGGGGTAAAAAGAAATTGTGGGGGTCAATTTTTTCTCATTTCAGATTTCAGAAATTAAAAAGAACTATTCTTCAAATATTGTTTTTTTTTTCAAATTTCAAATATTGAAAAATTTCAAGAAGTAATCTTTAATTGCACAGTATGGCGCATTAGATTTGTAAAATCTTTGACCACATTTATTTATTTGTTATGCCGAATCTAACCGTGTATTTAGAGTTTTAATTATGGGTCCAGTTTTCAAATTGGTCTACATTAAGGTCCAAAGGGTCCAAAATTAAACTTTGTTTGATTTTAACAAAAATTGAATATATGGGGTTCTTTGATATGCTGAATCTAAACATGTATTTAGATTTTTGATTTTTGGCCCAGTTTTCAAGTTTGTCCAAATTGGGGTCCAAAATTAAAATTTGTTTGATTTCAACAAAAATTGAATATATGAGGTTCTTTGATATGCTGAATCTAACCATGTATTTAGAATTTTTTATTTGTGGGCCCCGCTATCAAATTGGTTCATATTGAGGTCAAAAGGGTCCAAAATTAAACTTTGTTTGATTTCATCAAAAATTGAATTATTGGGGTTCTTTGATATGCCAAATCTAACCGTGTATTTAGATTTTTAATTTTGGGTCCCGTTTTTTAAGTTGGTCTACATTAAGGTCCAAAGGGTCCAAAATTAAACTTAGTTTGATTTTAACAAAAATTGAATTTTTGGGGTTCTTTGATATGCTGAATCTAAACATGTGTTCAGATTTTTGATTATGGGCTCAGTTTTCAAGTTGGTCCAAGTTGGGGTCCAAAATTAAACTTTGTTTGATTTCAACAAAAATTGAATATATGGGGTTCTTTGATATTCTGAATCTAAACATGTATTTAGATTTTAGATTTTTGGCCCAGTTTTAAAGTTGGTCCAAATTGGGGTCCAAAATTAAACTTTGTTTGATTTCAACAAAAATTGAATATATGGGGTTCTTTGATATGCTGAATCTTACCATGTATTTAGATTTTTTATTTGTGGGCCCGCTATCAAATTGGTTCATATTGAGGTCAAAAGGGTCCAAAATTAAACTTTGTTTGATTTCATCAAAAATTGAATTAATGGGGTTCTTTGATATGCCAAATCTAACTGTGTTTTTAGATTTTTAATTTTGGGTCCCGTTTTTTAAATTGGTCTACATTAAGGTCCAAAGGGTCCAAAATTAAACTTAGTTTGATTTTAACAAAAATTGAATTCTTGGGGTTCTTTGATATGCTGAATCTAAACATGTGATTATGGGCCCAGTTTACAAGTTGGTCCAAGTTGGGGTCCAAAATAAAACTTTGTTTGATTTCAACAAAAATTAAATATATGGGGTTTTTTGATATGCCAAATCTAAACATGTATTTAGATTTTAGATTTTTGGCCCAGTTTTCAAGTTGGTCCAAATTGGGGTCCAAAATTAAACTTTGTTTGATTTCAACAAAAATTGAATATATGGGGTTCTTTGATATGCTGAATCTTACCATGTATTTAGATTTTTTATTTGTGGGCCCGCTATCAAATTGGTTCATATTGAGGTCAAAAGGGTCCAAAATTAAACTTTGTTTGATTTCATCAAAAATTGAATTATTGGGGTTCTTTGATATGCCAAATCTAACTGTGTTTTTAGATTTTTAATTTTGGGTCCCGTTTTTTAAATTGGTCTACATTAAGGTCCAAAGGGTCCAAAATTAAACTTAGTTTGATTTTAACAAAAATTGAATTCTTGGGGTACTTTGATATGCTGAATCTAAACATGTGTTTAAATTTTTGATTATGGGACCAGTTTTCAAGTTTGTCCAAGTTGGGGTCCAAAATTAAACTTTGTTTGATTTCAACAAAAATTGAATATATGGGGTTCTTTGATATGCTGAATCTAACCATGTATTTTGATTTTGGACATTGGACCATTATAGGTAAATTAAAAAAATTGAAGTTCTTAGACCACATTCTTTCTGTGTCAGAAACCTATGCTGTGTCAAATATTTAATCACAATCCAAATTCAGAGCTGTATCAAGCTTGAATGTTGTGTCCATACTTGCCCCAACTGTTCAGGGTTCGACCTCTACGGTCGTATCAAGCTGCGCCCAGCGAAGCATTTTATTGGTTTATATCTCTGAAACTAAAGCATTTAGAGCAAATCTGACAGGTGGCAAAAATGTTCATCAGATTTAGATTTATCTGCCCTGAAATTTTCAGATGAATCCGACAACCCGTTGTTGGGTTGCTGCCCCTGAGTTAGTAATTTTACAAAAATTTTGCAGTTTTTTGTTATTATCTTAGATATCATTATAATATCTAATATCTAATACTATTAATTATGATTTTAACCTTATTTTACATGATTTCCAAAGCATCAGTAAATACAGGTGAGCGACACAGGCTCTTGAGAGCCTCTAGTTCTAGTTTCCAGACAATAACTTGTGTTCAAGTGTATGGATCTCTCTGAAATTGTACTGCAAGGTACCATACCACAAAGGGAAAGCTGGGATTGATGATGGGGGTAATTGCCTCAACATTTTAGGAATTAGGGGAAAAAAAGGGGCAAAAAACAAGCATTTTTCTAGTTTCAGGACAATAACTTGTGTGTTAGTGTATGGATCTTTCTGACATTGTACCACAAGGTTCCATATCACACAAATAATGCTGGGATTGATTTTTGGGGTAATTGCCTCAAAATATTAGGAATTAGGGGCCAAAAAAGGGGCAAAAAACAAGCATTTTTATTCGACTGCAAAAAAATTTTTGTGGTCGTATATTGGTATGACGTTGGCGTCGTCGTCGTTGTTGTCGTCGTCGTCGTCGTCGTCCGAAGACACATTGGTTTTCGCACTATAACTTTAGTTTAAGTGAATGGATCTCTATGAAATTTTACCACAAGGTTCAATACCACAAAAGGAAGGTTAAGATTGATTTTGGGGGTTATGGTACTAACAGTAAAGGAATTAGGGGCCAAAAATAAGCATTTTTGTAACTTCCAGACATAACTTGTGTGTTAGTGTATGGATCTCTCTGACATTGTACCACAAGGTTCCATATCACAAAAGGAATGCTGGGATTGATTTTGGGGGTAATTGCCTCAAAATTTTAGGAATTATGGGGCCAAAAAAGGGGCAAAAAACAAGCATATTTCTAGTTTCCAGACAATAACTTGTGTTCAAGTGTATGGATCTCTCTGAAATTGTACTGCAAGGTACCATACCACAAAGGGAAGGCTGGGATTGATGATGGGGGTAATTGCCTCAACATTTTAGGAATTAGGGGCCAAAAAGGGGCAAAAAACAAGCATTTTTCTAGTTTCAGGACAATAACTTATGTGTTAGTGTATGGATCTTTCTGAAATTGTACTACAAGGTTCCATATCACAAAGGGAAAGCTGGGTTTGAGTTTGGGGGTAATTGCCCTAAACGTTTAGGAATTTGGGGCCAAAAAGGGGCCAAAAAACACATTTTTCTAGTTTCCAGACAATAACTTGTGTTCAAGTGTATGGATCTCTCTGAAATTGTACTGCAAGATACCATACCACAAAGGGAAGGCTGGGATTGATTTTGGGGGTAATTGCTCCAAAATTTTAGGAATTAGGGGCCAAAAAAACAGCATTTTTCTTGTTTCAGGACAATAACTTTTGTGTAAGTGTATGGATCTTTCTGAAATTGTACTACAAGGTTCCATATCACAAAGGGAAAGCTGGGTTTGAGTTTGGGGGTAATTGCCCTAAACGTTTAGGAATTTGGGGCCAAAAAGGGGCCAAAAAACAAGCATTTTTCTAGTTTCCAGACAATGACTTGTGTTCAAGTGTATGGATCTCTCTGAAATTGTACTGCAGGTACCATACCACAAAGGGAAGGTGCGGATTGAGTTTGGGGGTTATGAATCATAAGGGGGTTCAAAAAATTTGGGGGGAGGGGGGGATTTTTTTTTCTTTAAATTTTCCATTTTGAATTGGTTATTTCTGATTTATATATAAAAGCAATAATAATGATATGGTTTGAATAGGTAAATTAAATTTTTTTAAGTTCTTAGACCACATTCAGTCTGTGTCAGAAACCTGTGCTGTGTCAAATATTTAATCACAATCCAAATTCAGTGCTGTATCAAGCTTGAATGTTGTGTCCATACTTGCCCCAACTGTTCAGGGTTTGACCTCTGTGGTCGTATCAAGCTGCGCCCAGCGGAGCATTTTATTGAATTATAAAAAGATTTTCATAATCTTGAAATGATGTGAGAGTGTACATTATTTTACAGATCATAATAAAAGGACAGTTTTCATTGGCCAACAGACTATCATGTGACCTAGATATAGAAATGCAGTCACCATCATTAGAGTCAGGAAAAATTGCAGATGTGTTGCCAGGGGCAACAGCTTCACACACATATGTCCTTGAACTTGATCATAACATAGTGATGAAGATCAGAAGGAAAGGGAAGACTTTATCCTGGTCAAAAGACATATTGATCTCCAAAGACAAAGTTCCATTAAGTCAAATGATTTATGTAAGTTTTCAGTAGAGAAGGTTTTCTTTATTATGTTCTTGTTCAATTAAAATCACATCTAAAATAACTAATTATATATCTAGGTCCCAAATGAAAAGTCAACCTCATTCAGTAGTTAACTTTCTCGAACTTTCGATAAACTGTAAACTTATCAGGTGGATAGATTTATTCTGTTGTTAATTGAGGTTATATATTTGTAAGGTTGACTTGATTAAATATACTCTGACAAATTAAATATATTCTGACAATTACTTGTACCAAGTGAGGAAAAGGAATCTTCAGTCACTCCTGTTGATTGTTTATATTACTGTTAAGGGGAAATGTAAGCGAGGGGTTTATTTTAATGCCGATTTCATGATTTAAAATAAATTGCGAAAATATCTTCTGGCATGAAATGCAGGAGAAGAGGCTTGGCTCCAAAAATTGAAAATTGAACCTCTTCAAAAATGTATCGTTTTGCAGTATTATTCAATATTAGAGACAACAACACTCGTAAATTACCTCATAGTAATTGTTTTAATTGTCGACTGGTTTCGCCATCAGGTGTGACGTATTCAGCACACACTTTGTTATAATTATAATATCTTTCAGATATCATTTCTCCACGAGTCGTACATCCATGTGTGGTGTCATGTATATGAACAGATTACTAAAGACTTTATTATTATTGTAATGTCTTTCAGATACCATTTGTACACAGTCCTACATCCATGTGTGGTGTCATGTTATTATTGTAATGTCTTTCAGATATTATTTGTACATGAGTTCTACAACCATGTGTGGTGTCTTCAGGACACACTTTGTTATTATTGTAATGGTTTTTAGATACCATTTCTCAATGAGTCCTTCATCCATGTGTGGTGTCTTCAGGACACACTTTGTTATTATAGTAATGTCTTTCAGATACTATTTCTCCATGAGTCTTACATCCATGTGTGGTGTCATGTATATGAACAGATTACTAAAGACTTTGTTATTATTGTTATGTCTTTCAGATACCATTTGTACATGAGTCCTACATCCATGTGTGGTGTCATGTTATTATTGTAATGTCTTTCAGATACCATTCGTACAGGAGTCCTACATCCATGTGTGGTGTCATGTTATTATTGTAATGTCTTTCAGATACCATTTGTACATGAGTCCTACATCCATGTGTGGTGTCATGTTATTATTGTAATGTCTTTCAGATGCTATTTGTACATGAGTCCTACATCCATGTGTGGTGTCATGTTATTATTGTAATGTCTTTCAGATACCATTTGTACACGAGTCCTACATCCATGTGTGGTGTCATGTTATTATTGTAATGTCTTTCAGATACCATGTGTACACGAGTCCTACATCCATGTGTGGTGTCATGTTATTATTGTAATGTCTTTCAGATACCATTTGTACATGAGTCCTACATCCATGTGTGGTGTCATGTTATTATTGTAATGTCTTTCAGATACCATGTGTACACGAGTCCTACATCCATGTGTGGTGTCATGTTATTATTGTAATGTCTTTCAGATACCATTTCTCCATGAGTCCTTCATCCATGTGTGGTGTCTTCAGGACACACTTTGTTATTATTGTAATGTCTTTCAGATACCATTTGTACATGAGTCCTACATACATGTGTGGTGTCATGTTATTATTGTAATGTCTTTCAGATACCATTTGTACACGAGTCGTACATCCATGTGTGGTGTCATGTATATGAACAGATTACTAAAGGAGCTTCTAGATTACTGGTAACATATTATATTATAGAGTTTTTTCATCCTTAAAACTGATGAAATAATTGCCACCGGATGTTAGCAAACAATGATTAACAGCTGCCTTATTTTATCATTTAATTGTAACTTATATTACATTATGGCAAATATTGAACCACTAGGGGAACCACTTATGATAATTTTATGATATTAATATGCAGTTGTATAGGCATTGGAATATCACATTTCCTTTGAAATTTTTGACTCTGCCACCCTCAGTCATAGTCTATTGACTTTGAAACTTATGCTTAGTTTACATATTAAAGTTTGTGATTAGTATTAAATAAGGAGATGTGGGTATGATTGCCTATGTTCAAATTAAGTGAGTGGTCAGTTTAAGGGAAACCACTTATGATAAATCAATGATATTTGGTATGCAGTTGTATAAGCATTGTCACATCTTATTTCTACCTTTGGTCATGGTTCATAGCTTTGAAAATTTGCATGTTTTACATTTTATATTAATTGCTATTTTAATTTCAACATTTGCATTTTACTATCAAGTTATTACAGGTGAGACATATCTCTGTGTCAACAGTTATAATTACACAGAAACAACACTGTATAAGAGCTTTCAAATGAGAATTCAAACTTGATGTACATTATCAGAATTCTTTGTCATGGGTTTATTTTCAGAAAATCTATTGGAATTAGTTCTAGTCATAGAGAAATCATCAAGGGAAAAAAGGGAAACAGTTTAGGCAAATATATTTCCATTTTGGAACCTCTGAACTAACAAGTCATAGATATAGGAAGATGTGGTATGAGTGCCAATGAGACAACTCTCCATCCAAGTAGCCCAGTTG